AGTATATAATTAATACTGATTCTTTCAAATATCTACTATTACTTTGATATTAAAAACATATATACAGTTTCTTACATTACTTTTGAAACAATTGTTCCGAAATAATAAAATCTTCAAAAATAATTAGTTTAATACAAAATAAGTAAGAAGAAAAGTAAGTTGAGTAATCAAGAGGTTTGTAAAACTTGATACTTAGAGTGTACTTGCAAGCTTTCAATTGAAACATTCGTTGTTTGTTTTGTTCATCGAATACTTGGATTTATAAATCCATATTCATCTATCAAGTTTTTGTGCCTAATTGTTAAATAACTAGATGTTTTCGTGCACTATGTGCAGAAATAAAAGTTTGAAAAATAAAATTATATTTAAAATTAAAATTTATTTAATTTGTAAATTTATTATTTTGTTACATGATTAATTTTACGTCAATTATATGTATAAAGTAAACAAATTTTATTTAAATTTATATTTAATAATATATATGTATATTTTTAAAATTAAATTTTGGAAATATTTTTTTATCTTTTTTATTTTTGTTAAAATATGTTAAAACACATTTTGTACAATCAAGAAAAAAATGTTGTTAGGTATAGAATTATCAAAATATAAAATTAAATAATATTTCTAAAATTTATTGATGTTATAAATAAAACTAATGGTATTGGGATTAGAAAATTATAACTTTTTTTTAAATACCCGCATAAAATTTTGAAAAAAATTATTAGCAAAAATTATAAAATTATATGATTTATTTCTAATATTATATTGTTTATTTTATGTTAATGATAATTTATGAATTATTACCATATTTTAAAAACCTACAAAAATATATATTAACATTAAATGTAATACATGTCACAATTAACTCCAAGTCATGTCATCCCTTATATATTAAAAGAGAAGCATTGTAATAAATGCATTCACACTTTAACTGACACATATCGGCCTCAAAATCATTTGATAATTAGTGCGTTCATATACTATTTTTTTAAATTTATTATTTAATATTTTTATACATTATTTTTTAATTAATTCATTTTCCTATATTTTTATCCTTTGATTAATAAATTAAAACTTTCTACGTGAAACTAATGAATAATATCTTTATTGTAAAAAATTACAAAATCATTCAAATTCTCATCAACTAAAATGTTTTTAGAAATTGAAAGTTTCGTACCTTGCCGAAGTTGGTCATGGTTGAGGCTTCGGTACACAATAAAAAAATACGGTGATTGATTATGAATTAAAGAAACTGAGGTGAAAAACACCACAAGTAAAGTCGGATCTTTAGTTTAGTCAAATATTAACATTTTTATAAAGTTTTAATATCATACCAAGAATTAGAAACAAAATCAAATTGATAGAAAAAAATAAGAAATAAAAAAAGCTTTAAAAAGAAATAAAAATCACAAAATCGATTAAAAACGAAATTCAGGTACCAAGTGAAGATGTCACTTTGTAATATATATTATTTTTATTGTTTACGGGTACAATTTGATTTTCTTCATATGAAAAATGTTATTAATTTCTAGATTTGTTTTAGTTTTACTTAATTTTATTTAAGAATTTACTATCATGTGTTATTTTGAACAAAAATGTTTTAAATCTTAATTAACGGTATATTCATATATTTATCATCACATTTATATAATTTTACATATACATACATGTACATATTGACATGAGCGTCTATATAACTAAATATTCACCACAAGTGAGAATTTTAATTCTTATTGAAGTTGAGTTTTTTTGTTAATGTTTTCTTTCACTATCGCACAAATTGTAGTGAAATGTGTTTTGTTAATAAATTTATTTTCTTTTTTTCTTCAAATATTATTTAGATCTTATTTGATTTTACATATCTTTATAAATTATAAAAGTATGTTAACTCATTTCGTTCGTTGGACACAATGCATTATTTTCTTAATTATTATCTCTATTGCTAATTTGATATATGTTTAAAATATTGTTTATTAGGGTCGGCCCGCCCTACGGGCGAGATATACTTTTCTTATAATTTTTGTTATATTTTGTTTGTATGGCATTGTTGTTTACGTTGTCAATTTGCATTTTCAAAAGATATGTATGATAATGATTTATGTATTTTAGAAAGTTTTAGGTGTATTAGGATTATATGTAGTAGTCTTCAATAGTTATTTATATACTAAAGAGTTTTGTCATTGATATTTTGAACGGAATTTAAATTGTTTTCATGTTTTTTTTTTTAAATTTGGTTTCATATTCAGTGCGTTATTTGTGGTTTGTAATATTTTGTTTCAGAAAAAAATTGGGTTGTGTATAAAATTAGTGTGAATAGCTTAGACTGTAAACAGGAGGTGGTAACGGGTTATGATTGACTGGCCATAATATTTGAGCTTAAAGATAAAGAATGGAAGTTGTCAAGTGAATATATATTTTGTTTTAATCTTTTTCGTTATGTTTGTGTTGGAAAGGTTTGAAGTTAGCTATGAGTTGATAGGGGCAAATAACCTTGGGAACCTTACAAAGTTTTCTTAGGTTAGAATGAACTGTTTATATAAGTGCTTAGAAGATAAAAAAATTATTATTTATTATTGAGATTATATATAGACATAATTTTTTTATTGAGATTATATATAAAACAGTGATGGAAATGAATAAATCATTTATTAAATTTTATTTATAATTTTTTATATTTTATATTTTATATTTTCTCATTTAGGTTTTTATGTAAAACAAAAATTAAATGTACAACTTTTTTTTTTTTTTAGAAATGTTGAATATCCAGTTTTCAGTACTTGAGCTGATGTATAATCCAACTCCATAATTGATTTATTTAAATGATAATTTTATTGGGTTAACTGAATGTACAACCAATTAAATAGGTTGATCAGATTTTAGCAGAATTAAAAAAGGTAATTGGCTTTTACTAAACCAAATTATTTTATGCCTGGAAATAAACTGAGTCAAATACTGGAATCATCACTACAGAATACTATTGTTCTCTAAACAAATTGCTGATAAACCTATTATAAACTAAGAATAAAGCACAAACCAAACAACAAACGTTTTAAACAAACCACCACTCAAAAAAATTATATTTAAATTATATAAAACGTACCATAAGATTAATCTTTTGGTTCCAGTTAATGATGATTCCAGTTGGTCATGTTTGCTTCTGGGCTCTGTTGACTTTTGGTCTCTTTGTATTGCTAGATGATGACGAAATTTCTTAGATATACTCAATGCGTTAGACAATACTTTTTACCAGTTTTGTGAATTTTATGTTAGTTTCGTGCGGCGACGATAAATTAGTGATTTATTGATTTGTAAGTTTTTTTTAGTTATAAGCTAAAATCTCACTCATATTTTGGTTACTGAATGTTAATCGCTTTGGAATTGATTTGTGTTATTAAACAGTTAATTGTCCGAAGTAATTTTGTATTCTACAAAAATGATGTTTTCTGGTGAATAGCTGAAAGGTAAATTGTATGTAACTATTTATGAAGTGTACAAAAAGAGAGGATAGTATAGTGGAAATAGTAAAAGAAAACGATGGTGGAGTTTATTGGAATCTTCTTTTTTCAGAAAATGTGAATAAACCAAATGGCATCCCACATAGAAAGATGATGTGAATAGAATGTCTTTCTTGACCTCGGAAACAACTTTAATTAAATGTTTTTTTTTCATTTATATAAGGAATTAACTACAAAATAAAGAAATTTAAAACCATTTTGTTACTTGTTTTTTCTATTAATTTTGTTATTATTTCAAATTATAGATTCAATGGTATGAATAAGAAATTAAGTAATCGTTAATTTTGATCTAAGTATTTTTTTTTGTTTTAATCATTTATGTTTTTACATAAACCATATATTTTTTTTTTTTCTAAATTAGTTTTATCAGGCTAAATAAATTTGTAGTATGCAATCCTGGTTAATAAATATATATGTAATATATTATATTTTTTTAGGAGGACCTATGATTTAAAAATGTTAATTTTCATACCAAACTGAAGCTATTTATACCGGATCATAAAATAGAGAGTAAATGACTAAATGTAGTCAGAATTGACCAAAAAAACAAACAAAGTGCTATTAACCAAACCAATTTATGGGAAATCATTAACAAATGAAAAATAAGATAAAACCCAAAGTAAATGTCAAACCTTTTAAACAAACTATCACATAAGACGTTACCTCTGCACATCAAAAGCAGGCAATGACTGCAAATTTAAAACACGACCTCATGTCGGAGACTTTACTATTTTCTTTCTTTTTTAAGCTTCTTTGCTAGAGAAGAAGGTTCCTCATTGGCTCATTGCTGCTTATGTAAAGATATTATATACAAACATATATACATGTCATGACCGGGGTGAGTATGTAGATATTATATTAGATAGTTAAAGACAAATAAGACTTTGTCCCAAGAAACAAAAACAGCAAGCACTCTGCACACGATAAGAGAAAGATCATACCCAATGTGCTTACATATAAACACACGAAAAATGGACTGTGGAAAGGTTAGCATAAGTGAAAGATCAGAGAAATGATATAAACTATAATCTAAATGGTATGAAAGAATAACTACTAAAAGATAAAGCTTTTGATTAGAATGTGCCTCAAATCTTGGTGCGTTTGATCTCAACTTCTCTGTTTGGTCATAAAGGTTGTAGTGCAGGTAGTTGCAAGCAAGGGAGAAGTGTTTCACAAAATGACATATTGAATAACTAAAACAAAAGCTGAATCAAGATTTTCTAGTGTTTATAACGATTTGTCACAGAACGTACGCGTGACCCAACTCATCATGACGCAGTGTTGCATAATGGTGTAAGGACAGACTGAGTACTGCAAGTAAAAGTAAAATCGATGAGTTAGTCAATATATTGGACTGGAAACAAATCGTCAGTGAATTACTAACCCATGAATCTCAGCAAGATCACCAATCATCTTTTTTTTTTGTCACGCGATCACCAATAATCTCATAACTCAAAGAATAGTAAAAATACAATCTTGAAGCGATCACATCAAGGTTCTCTTGTTTAAGCTATTGAGGCGAGCAATGCTAGCTGAGAAGTAAGCTTTGGCCTAAAGGAGAGAAATTAAAACACTTTGGTTAAGACGATATCAAGATTAGTAAACAAAATATGTCAACGAAATCACACCAACATAGAGAAGTAACCTCGTTGTACTTTTTCTGATAAATCAAAAAAGAGAAAAAGAAGGACAATAAAGTAGCAATAGATCTCGATCTCACCAGGCAAGTGCCTGGAAGTTACAACGGCCAGACTCAGTGAAAAGAATAGATGATTTCGCCTCAGTGAGCTATTTTCTTAATTAGATTCTCCGCTGATATGTTATCCTTCTATAGATCACAACAGCAGACACAGCAACCTTTTCTTGATTTCAGAAGATCTGAAAATTGACCATGTTTGTATATATGTGTGGTATATGCCTCTTAGCATAGATGACCATACATGTATTTCACAGATGGTCGCCTGCATGATGGTGGCCTGCAAAAAATTAATAAAAAACGACAGAGATTAAGAGGGATGCTGTCGGAATCACATCTGTGATGTCTGAGTTTATAATGATCAGAACACATACATTAACATCGACCATTAACATATCGATCCACATCAACTCCCTTCCACGGCGTGGATTCCGTGCCTCCCAGAACCGGAGCAGACGGACCTCGACGGTTGAGGAGCAACGACCAGACTTGAGATCGGAAAAGAAAACCCTAGACATAGCCATTACCACTAAAAACGATTTAGATTTGTGAGAGAAGAATGAGAACGATGCTGAGAACATGAAGAACTGACCTCTATATATACACATCTCCACCGACTCTAATCTGATAAGAGGGAATTGATGATAGATCGTGGGAGAGAGTTAAATTCTCTAATCAATCAATAACTAAATCCATGTTAACATGTGAAAGAGGAAACCGAATCGACAATAAAAGAGGAGGTGAGCGGAGTATCAGTGGCGGCTCCTCTAGTTGAAGAAAGAAGAAAACCATATTACGCGAGAGAAGACACATACAGGTCATGGCTTTTAAAAATTGAGACCCAAGAAAATTATAACGCGAGGTCCGTTCAACCCAGACACGTAGGAAGTTGGAGTTGTATTATCTAACGTGTCTCTCTAAAGAGAGAATCAACTATCCTTTATAATAATAGATACCATGATGAAATAAAATCCTTTAATCTTGTTTTCTTTTCTAATATCATCACTTAGATGTCACTAAAATAAAATGGTTTCCTAATCAGAACTCTAGAAAATTTAACCACAACGTTTTGAGTGATCAAAAGTATATGACAAGATTATGAATAAAATTACTATCACTATATAGTCGACGTTAGTAATTAAAATGATTGTGCACATAACTTTTTCTGCGCTCCGTGGAAGTGGAATTTTCTGCGCTCCGTGGAAGTGGAAGTGGAAGTGGAAGTGGAAGGAAGTAGACACATGTGTAAATGCATGTATATTAGTGGGGGGCATGTGTGCGTGTATTTGGATAATATATTACAAAATAAACATATGTTTATACGCAAAGGGGATCTACGGGGAGAGAGTAGTGTAAGCTCAAGGTTTGTGAGCTTGTTCCGGTTAAGATGAGAGTGTGTTACACAGTGCGATGATTGTGTAACACAATGCAATAAGTTTGGTACGTGTAATGACGTGGCGTAAACTTATGGAAATAGAAGATATTGCTTGGGTGCGAAGCAAAGAAGATCTTCTGGTTGGCGATATTTTAGGAAATAGAATATTGTCTTTTTCATGCCTACTTAACGAGGCAACCTAAGAGTGTTTTAGGTTAGGCGTTAAGAGAGAAAAAGCTAGAGCAAGAGAGTTGTTCTTGTCGGCTACAGAGATCGAGAAAACAGGGGTTTGGCTTGGGTTTCTGTAACTTAGAGATTAGGAACTGGTCCGTCGCTAGTCGTGTGTGACTGAGCTTAAATCGGATTAAACAGATCTAGGAAGATTGTTTAAAAGGTTTCTAATA